CCCCCCCTTTTTTTTTAAACCCTGATGCAGAAATAACTTCTGTGTTCAGAATCAGGTCACCCACAGAGTAGGCAACAAAGGCAATAGTATTATTTATGGACTTTCTAGTTAACAACTATGGCAAAACAGAATATCTGCGCTCTCAAAATGTGATAAAATTAATATTTGTTAACAGAGTATGAGACATCTGATATGATGGATTTTAAATATACATTAGTAGTAGCTGTATGTCCATACCATTCCTATATATTCCTATATTCTAACTTGCTTTCTTTAAAATATAAATAAAGCCAAATTTAATATGCTTTTCTATGCTTTATTTTTTTACAGTACTATACAAGTGCCATCTCATTCTATATGGGCTCCTTTCTCTCTTACTCCTTTTCCCCCTAAAAGGACTGCTATTCCTTCCCTCACGTCTAATACTTTTCTTTCCCCTACCACACTTTCCACCAAAAAGGACCCCCTAATTAGTCCACTGATTGCACCATTCACAGAAATTTCTGCTTCTGGAACTCTCTCCACATCTGCCACCACAAGTCCTCTCTCTGAACCTTCTACCGCATCTACCACTGCAACTTCTCTGCCTTCCAGCAGTGTTACCACTACGCTTTCCTCTTCTGAGTCTTTTGCTCAACCTACCATGCCAACTTTTCCATCCACACTTGCATCAAAATCTGGCACTAATGTTGCTCTCTCAATTAAATCTGATGCTACATATCCTAGAAAGCTGATCAAAACCATTTCTCCTGCTGTAGGTTTCAGTAAACCTACAACAGTTTCCTCTTCTGAGCTTCCCCCCACGCCTCCAATAGTAATTCCTCCCTTTGAGACTACCACCGGATCTATGACACAAATTCCTCCTGCTACAGATTCTACCAAACCTATTTTTGGTAATAAAAGTGTTACTACAGCACCTATTCTTCCCTTTACTCCGTTCACAACATCTTTGATCCCTGCTGTTAGTCCTGTCAAACATTCTGTCTCAGCTTCTTCTCATCCTCGTTCTACTGCTGATGGCCGCGGTAGCCTGCCTAATGGGAGCACAGGTAAATATGACAAGTGAAAGGATTTTTTGTTCTTATTTTAATAGCATATACTGAATTTGCCTTTAAACTTATTGAGCAAGAGGATCTTGCTGTATGTTAAGTAAGACCTCACCTTCCAAGTACTGTAAAGACCCTGAAATAACTCTCAAAACATCTATACTCTTTCTGAAACACATTCTGATGCCTTTGGCCATGATGACTGATACTCCACTCGTTAGTTGTGTTAGGTAGGTAGTGTGCTAAGTTTCCAGCAGGCGCCTTTGGCAGAGAAATTAGTAGTCACAGAAGCGGGTAGATCATCTTTTACTAAACTAGTATTTAAAATGTTACACATCAGTGTTAGAACTTCCTTGAAATATGTAATTGCTTAGGAACGTTCTTAGCAGCTGTATATTGCCTTTGAAGATGGTGTGCATCTTCACCAGCTGCTTGTCAAATTTGCTGGTCTTGATTTTATTCTGCTTCCAAGCATTCAGTGGCTAAAAACCCCAAGTAATAGTTTATTTAACATCACTGAGGGTCTAGTGTGAAGACTGTTGTAATCAGTAAAAAGTGGAATGAATGTAGGCCATTTGAAACCTTGGTGTATGTTTCCGTAAGATATAAAGTGTTGCTCTATGCAAAGTGACAAGAGAACTATTGTTATATAGTGCCTAATTTCTCTCATTCTTAAGAATTACTTCAGTTGTTGAACACTGTCTAAATAAATGCACAAATTTTCTTTTGTCACAGGAAAGGTACTGTCAGCTACCACATCTACAACTTCCATGTATTCCACCATTAATATCACCACAGCTGAGCAAATCGTGTCCAAAATAGAAAAGGATTTAGCAGCTGGAAAAGTAGAGCCAAAACATGTAGAAAGGATGGTTAGTGAAGTTAGCAAAATCTTGACTGCTTCTCAACCATTACCACCCCGAATTTCTAACAGGTATGCCACTCTGGTAATAGATTAAGGGTTTGTTGTATTAACTGTCTTGGTAAAGACAGTTGCTGAAGGTAACTTTTCATAATCATAATCCAAAAAAAGTCTCTTGTTCTTTAATGTAGTTATACAGAAAGGGCGGGAGTATTATTCTAGTGTTACTAGTTCTACTGTAATACAACTCCATGGGAAACTGTAGTTTTTCATGTCAAAACCACAGAAAATGAGCAGGGTCAGCTAGACTTTACACTGTGCTTGGCTTGCTGCTCCACAATGTGCCTGAGAATTTGGGTGTATGCTCTTGGTAATACTAACTGTCTCTTTTGTTTTCAGAATAATAAAACTTGTGGATTATATTGGCTTAAAACTGAACTTCTCAGCAAAGTCTGCTGATTTTGCTTCCCCTTCCTTGGCTCTGGCAGTTGTCAAAACCAACAGTAACCACTTCAGCCAGATGTCTTTTGCTGTCCAGGATTCATCTAATCTCCAGGTAAAGCAGCTGTAATTCTAAGTACTTACAAATTTAAATATTTGTATTTTATATATTTTAATTTATAGGCAATGTGAGTTGGCTCTGCGTTTATGTCCCAGTTTCAGGATCTTTTATTTGTGTTATTTTTAGAGAAAAAATACTTTGCTTTTGAAGCCTTCTGGAGGCTCTTCCTTTCATTTTCCGTTGTGGCGTAAATAAGCAACAGAGTTAGAAACTGGCATTTGACTAGTAAGCTGTTAGAGAGGGTACAGCCAGAACACTAGAATGGACAGAGGGCTTGGCTGAAAAATTCCCCCTCCAAAACCTTGAATCATGAGTCATTTAATCATCTACCCTGACAGTGCTGAAATTTGTCAAGGAGCGTTGCCAGCTGGCTTCGTCTGTTACAAGGTGATTAATTGCCGAGGGTGCCAGGAAAGAACTATTATGTTGCTTGGATAATGATATGCATATATTTGTTACTCAGGGCTAGTTGCTCTCTCCGTGAAAAAGGGAAAGATTTGGATCTCGTTTGTCTCAAAACCTTCTTCCCGCCTGGTTGAGGAAATTCTAATTTGGACAATACCAGCCTTGGAGGCTTTGGCGAGGGGAGATGGAAAGATCTGGACAAATACTGGCACACAGTATCCTCTCAGAGGAAGAAGTAGTTTAATCTTACATGAGCCATAAGCAGTACTGGGATCATTCTATGATATTAAAAATTATGTGAAGTGATAACATGTGAGTTCTTTTTTGTGTTCTAAGTAATATGTGAAACATGAGTCTGAGGTTACTCTAGGAGGTGATAGTGCTGGAAAACAGGTATTTGCTAAGTAATGATCTCCTAGAAGTCTTATGGCATGGTAAAGAAATACAGAGAGCTTCAACAAGTTGGTATCTAGCCTAACCCAGAGCAACACGAATACCTTTTTGGAATTAATTGAGTATTTCTTTGGTAGCTATCTGAACAAAAGAGATCAGGAAGCTGAATGATCCTCTCGCTTAGAAGTGATCTATCCAGAGAAGAGTTAAACCATACTTTTAGGATACTGTGGAGAGCTCACTGTGTTATTCCTGATTACAACCGTTCGTTAAATATACAGATTATTTCTCTCTTCAGTTCTGCTAATGTGTCATGTCTTTCATAAACTCTGAGATAATGGTATTGGTATATAAGATGACTAACATGCTGCCCCGGCTTTTACAAGAAAACGTACAAGAGATTTTGTACTAAACAAAGCTCCTTGTGTTCCTTAGGTTCAGCACAAAAGACTGGTTGAAAGTTCAGATCCGTTTTATAAAAAAGCAGCAGCTTTTAATGTATTTATTTGTTTATACACGCACGCGCGCGTGCACACACACACACACATATATATATATACATATATATGTATACACACACACAAACACCACAGCAGCAGGAACTTATCCAGTTTATTTTTGTCATTTTTTGCCAGATGAACTTGAAGATAGGGATGATTGTCTTAGGTTCTGCTTAACATACTGTACTAAAATCTTACTGACAAATAATAGCTGTTTAGAGTTTTTCTCAATTCATTTTAAAAAGGCTAAATCTTAACTGCAATTAATTTTCCATGAGCAGTGGCATTAATGAAGCCTGCATACCTACATATATGTCCTTTGTTCCTATACAGGCACAATAATCCTGCTTCTCATACTTCAGGACTCTCAGTTCTGCCATGTTTCCTGTGGCCTTTCACTGTATTTGTTACCCTAGTCCTTCATGTTTATTTGTAGACTTCTTCTTTGTTTGCCCTGTAGTGCTGTCAGCTGGCATACTCCCCATAGGGTACTCCCAGTACCACCCAGGGAGAGTTTACTTTCATGTCCCCGTTGCGTATTCCTTTCCTTAGTAATACCCTCAGTTCCTCCCTATAACATTCTTCTCCCATGTCCTGCTCTCTTTTGCATGGCCTTCTGGTTGGGTAAGAGGTATTGCAGGGCCATTTTGGAGCTCTACGTGGAGTAATAGATTGAACAGCTGTTGCAGAAAGAACAGATAAGGGTTAAGGCTTCCCTTGGGCATAAGTAGGGTTTCTCTTTTCTCTTTGGCCGCCAGAGCTTAAAAATCTTGGCAATCTTTCTCTCTCTCTTATTTTTAAACATGGTTGAGATTAGCCAATGAATTAAAAAGCTTTAGGGAAGCTTTAACATAAACCTAGATAGATGGCATAAGTGTGAAAGCTTCATTTTCTTGCAAAATCATTTACAAATGGCATGTTTCACCTGGGGTATAAGAAGTTCTTTGCACGCTTCTGTGCTATGAAATGCTGATCTACCTCCAGAATTACACGTAGGTCTACCTAGGTTGTTGCTCTTCACCTTTTTCAAATCAATATTATCCACAACAGTGATGATGTGTCCCAGTAGGCAAATGGATAAAGACAAATATTTTCAGTGGTAGGCAGACCTGGAAGAAACTGCATCATTTTCAGGCCTGCAGGTGCTTTTAATCCTTGGAGAAAGAGAGGGATGAGAGGTCAACAGTATGTTCCTGGCAGTGATCGAGGTGGCACAAATACCTGTTTCAAAGTTCTAAACTGAAAATAAGGCACAGTTTAATTTTTCTTTAGTGATAGAAATGAATCATAATCTTTGTACTTATTTTACAGATCTCTCTAGGTACTGGAACACTTCATGACTTAAATAATCTTGGATCAATTACACTTCCTTCATCACTGCTGACAAATTTACCTCCTGAAGAGTTGGACTTGGCTTCTAGAATTATATTCAACTTTTTTAAAAAGACTGCTGTCTTCCAGGTATCTTTTTGGTAGTCTGTTCATAATGGTTTTAAACTCCAGACTAGATGAAAGTATGAATGATTTTTTTTTTTCCCCCCAAAATACATTTTAAAATTTTCTGATAAAAAATTTACTATTTTTGTCCCGTTCTCACACCGCATAACAACTGCAATTGCATATGCTGTATTTCACTACTGTTTCCTTTAATATTTTTAAACTTGGTTATATATTTGTTGTTTCAGGATCCCTCCTTGAAAAATGCATCTTTAATCAGCGATGTTATATCGTCAAGTGTTGCTAACCTCACACTTAGCAACTTAAAGGCAAATATTACTGTCACTTTACAGAATATCAAACCCAATCAGGTATGATTTATGTTTTGGCACACTTAAAAGTGTTATTTTGTTGCCTCAGTTGGAGATGTTGTACAAGAAATACCATACTAAGAATGCAGATTGTTTTGTTGGTGCTGTTCTACTGGTGTGGACATTTCCTTTGCATCCGGACTTTGAAAAATCCCTCAGCTTTGCGTATTTATCATTGATATTAGTTTTTGTTCTCAGATGATTTCAGTTAATTTTGTTCTTTCGCTTACCGTCCAGTTTTTATCCTCCCTAACTGCCCTTCTGTTTTTTTCTCCAAAGAATAATATCTCTTGTTTGAAAGTTGACAGTAGGGGTTGATAGGGAGATACTAGAGTCGTGATATTTTTAGGTGCTGTGTGGCCGGAGAGCAATATAAGGCTTTTTCTATAGGAAGAATGTTGTTCCTTAAGCTTGAAAACAGGATTGTGTCATCATTAAGTGTTAGGGCTCATATACAGTCTCTCTTCTGTAAATGAGTGTCACGGATTAAAATCTTCCTGTCTCTGATCCTGAAGAAGAGTTTTAAATACTAAAATATTACGAACTGAAATTTGTAGTGATTCCACTTCTGTGTCTGAAACTTCCGTCTAGAGCTGGCTCACTGTAGTTTTTATTTCTATTGATATAATGTCAAGTTTTGAGATATAACTGTAGAAGTATTAGTATCCATAGCAATGGATTGTATTACTGCTACAATTTATAGGATTTTCATTGGCAGAAAGAAGACCTGTATGTAAACCTTTAACATCACAGTAGGATAAAGTGACCAAAAGTTTGCAAATTAAAAGATTTTTTCCTTTTCAGTATGGTCACTTTCTTTGTACTTATAAAATCAGGAAGGATGAGAAATCCAAAGAATTTATGCATTGAAAGAAGATGATGAATCAGTATCATAACGTTTCTACCAGGAGGAGGTCTCATGCTTATGCTGAGACTTCATCTCCTCTATGGCCTCTTCAAATGTGTTCTGTATATTTTCACAGGTGTATTAAGGCATTCTATGCGTCTACGTTAATTTTGCATTCACGTAAAACAGTATTTATTGTTATCTGCATTTCGTACAATGTACAAAATTGTACAATGTACAGTTCATAAATTACTTGATTATAAACTCACAGTTTAGTGAAACATCTTTTTTTCTCTACCTCTGAAACAGGATAATTCAACAGTTAGATGTGTTTTTTGGGACTTTAATAGAAATGGTAAGTACTTGATATATCACCCAAAATATCATGCTCTTTTAGCTATATTAGCTCATGTTAGTATAAAGGAATGCTGTTGTCAATAAGAAAGCTGTTTTCTCTGACAGGTGGACATGGAGGCTGGTCATATGAAGGCTGCATAGTTAAAGAAAGTAGAGCAAGTGAAACAGTCTGTTCATGCAACCACCTTACAAGCTTCGCAGTTTTGATGGTAATTATTTAAAAAATTGTGCAATCTTGCCCTGATTCAAGAAAACATTTAAGCATGTGTTATCTTAAACAAATTAGAATTTAGCAAGCACGTGTCAACTATTAAGTACCCGACTAGCTCCGTTCACTTCAGTTTTAGTACATACATGTGTAAAATCAGTCACATGCTTAAGCTGCTTGTTGAACTGGGGCCATGAGTTCCATTAAAGTCAAAATCTTTTAAGTGTTTTACTAAACCACAGCTTTTACATTTAGGCAATCTTTATTCTGTAGGAAAGAAAAATTAGAATAAATCAAATTTAAAACAATATTTTAATCAAACATCATTTCACAGATTTTTTTCCTGTTTTTTAATTCACCTTTTATAAGCTCTGTGATGAAAAAACCTGTGTCATTTTTTAATGCAGAGGAAAAGGATCATTTTGTTGGGGACTTTTTGCCTTTAACAGGCATGCTCTCTGAAATTAACTTCTGTTTCCCTTTTAGAACTTGTATGGAAATACTCCTTTACGTCCCACGCAAGAATTGGTACTGACTTTTATATCCTATATAGGCTGTGGCCTCTCTGCAATTTTTCTTTCCATTACTCTTGTGACCTACATAGCCTTTGAGTAAGTACTTGTTGAGCTAAGCTCCCATTTTTCTTCGCTTGTGATTGCTTGCAATGTGCACTGCAGTGTCCTGTCCGGCAGTCACTGATTGTGGCTCAGTTAAGAATGCACACGTTTGTTCAGTTTACCAGGAGGGTGTTGAGTCCATCTTGCAGGAATGTTTCACTTGTAGACGAGTGAATGAATCAAGAGGTTCTGTACAGTGACAAGTGAAGAAATAGTACTCCTAAGTGTTTTCCAACATATTAGCGTAACAAAATTGTGGAAGGATATGTTTGAGATAAGATACAGCATACACAGTGCAGTCCAGAATGATAGCATTTTAAAATGTATTTGTCTTGTTAAATGACATGTGATTGTGGCACACTAACTTTCTTGATTGTTTGTCCAAACATTTTCTAAAGCTGATTGAGCGTTAGCTATTTGATCCTCCATATTGTGTTTTGTAAATCCTCCTAGAAGTTGCTTTCAGCACCCATTTACTCTCTCGTTATTCTGTCATCAAATAATTACTTGTTTCTGTCAAGGCTGTTGGATGCCCAGTAGAATGCCTAATCTAGTTGAGCAGGAAAGAACACTCACTTTTTGGTTTTTGGAAGTACTCCAACACACAGAGAAGCCTAACCCAGAGTGTAAAAAAAAAAAAAACCAAACAAAAAAAAACCCACTGAATTATGATGTAAGAATCCAGGCTGTGTTGTTTTTTTTAATGGAATCTTTTTACAGACTTGCCATACAGACCTTGTATGTGTGAATCTTCTGTCACTCACCTTCTCTGTATAAATGCAATATATGAAGAATTACATATGAATAAAAATATATAAATAAATATTTTATTGGCATTTGTGCAATAAGGACTACAAGAGAGAAAATCAACCTAGGATCCAAAGTAGCGACAATTGATGTGATCTCACTAATTTGCTTTTTAGGAAAATCCGGAGAGACTACCCCTCCAAAATCCTCATTCAGCTGTGTGCTGCATTACTTCTGCTCAACCTAGTTTTCCTCCTTGATTCATGGATTGCTTTGTATGATACACGAGGCTTGTGCATTGCAGTTGCTGTATTTCTTCACTATTTCCTATTGGTTTCCTTCACTTGGATGGGCCTAGAAGCTTTCCACATGTATCTTGCCCTTGTGAAAGTCTTCAATACCTATGTGCGGAAATACATCCTTAAATTTTGCATTATTGGTTGGGGTATGTATTTTTTTTCACTTTGGAAGCTAAATGGATATATTCTTGTGCCAGATATTTTGGAGAAAGTGACACTTATCGAAAGTGAAAATGAAGCAGTCATTAAATGCTAATAATCTGTCAGTGACCACATATTCATTATCAGTAAACCTGGTCCTGTATATTCCAGCTTCTGAGGTATCAACTTCCCCCTAGCTGCAGAATTTTTCAGATTGCACGCTGAAAAACTGAGGCTGCTGCAGTGCCAACGGATGAAGAATTTTCCTTCTGCAAGTGTAATAGAGCCAATTTTGAACTTCCATTTCCATCTTCCAGCCAGATGACACCAGTTCTGTTTGGAAAATAAATGTCATCACGTATATATATTCTGTTTCTGGAATAGCCCTGTTTCTAACAAAAAGCAGCAAAGCCCACCTACCTGGCTAAATGATGAAGAGATTCTGGACTTGATTCTCCTCTTTGGCCCACTTGAGTAAACAGGAGTGAAGGCACTAAAATCGATAGAGTTATGTTTCTTTAAATAGACATAGGTGGGAAGAAAATCAATATACTGTGTTTGATGTTTTAAGGTCTTTGTTACTTTACACATATCTGGGTTAGATTACCTTAGGCTGTAAGTAAAATAGCTGGATTAAATCACATGATATTTGTTGCCTTATTCAAAAAGGTTTAAAGCTGGCTGTGGAGCAGAACATTTGTTTCTTTGTAAGTTATTCTCCTGAGCACAATTGGAATGCCTCAATTTTTAGGTTTCTTGGGACAGCTAGTAACAACAGAATTCAACAAAGTTCATAAACTGGTTGTAGATTTCACAGAAAAATACAATAGTTTCAAGTCATCTTAGTACTGTCATTGTGTCATTATTTTCACTTACGTGTTTGCTCATAATCTTTTAGGGGTACCAGCAGTAGTTGTGGCCATTGTGTTGGCAGTGTCACCAGATAATTATGGACTTATATCCACTGGAACGTTTTCAAACAACAGACCAGAGGAATTGTAAGTTAAAAGGAAGCTTGCTTCCCGCCCCCCC